CCGTTACACCGGGTAGGACAACGCCCTGGTCCCCATCCCCCGGTGATGCCGCCGTCCCCCTCGTCTGGCCACTGTCCTAGCTCCCAGTTATCCTCGGCCACACCCTGGAACTGTCCCCAGCCATCCTGCTGTCCCCATCCCTTGTCACACTCCGGTCTCCATTCCCAGCCAGCCACGCCCTGGTCCCCATCCTTAGGGATGCTGTTCTCATCCCTGGCCAAGCCTCTGCCCCCATTCCCAGGGACRCTGTCCCCATCCCTGGCCGTGTCACAGTGCCCTGGTTTTCAGCCACGTCCCCGCCGTGGCCCTGTGCCTATCCCGGCCCTTTCCCTGCTTTGCCCAGCCCTTCCAGTGCCTCTTTGTCTGCTCGGGCAGTGGGAACCAACCCTGCGGGGCCCAGCCGGGGGAAAAAAGAGTCATCCCCCCCCGGGCAGCTGGGGACGACCAGAGCCGGGGGGCTGAGGGACAGCGGGAGGGCACAGGGGACAAAAGCCCCCGGGGCAGTTTTGGGCTGGGGGCTCTGAGCAAGCAGCAGCTGCTGTGTGGCAGCTGGTGGTTGGGACACAGCTGGGACACCGGGACACGCGTCCCCTGGCCACCCCTCCATCTGCTGCAGCCCCTGCACAGCCCCCCCGAGCCACCAGCCCCACAGCCCTGGGGTTTCCCTCTTATGGGAGGGTTCCCCTCCCGTTTCTTCCTGCAAAGCCCCCCCAAAGAGGCTGGGGGGTCGCCTCCCCAAGGCAGGAGGTGCTGGGGGGCTCAGTCCCTTCAGGGAAGTGACCCCACACCACACTCCTGTCCCCAGCTGCTGCAGGTGGAGCTGCCAGGACGTTTTCCCTGCTGAGAAATCACTTTTGTGTGTGTGTGAGTGTGTTTCCCACATTATGCAGATTTCTGGGCAGATCCAAGGTTCCCATGTCCCTGCTGCCAGCCCCGTGTCCCCACCACTATCCTCACGTTCCTGCTGCCAGCCCCGTGTCCCCACTGCCAGCCCCATGCCCCCTGCTGCTGCCCTGTTTTTGGGGTGCTGCTGGGCCTGCAGGGCTGCAGACAAAGAGGGGATGGGATTTGGGCATCGCCCACCAGAACAAAGGAGCAGTTGGCCCCGGCTTTGCTGAGTGGAGAAAAACCAGGAGATTTGGCTTTCACCAGGCTGGTCCCCATGGCAAATGAATATTTTGGGGCAACCTTACCCCAGAGCAGCTCAGCCCCCAGCCCTGACCTCACTGTGGATTCATCCCTGCATGAGAAACGCCTCCTGCCTTTGTCCCCCAACAGTCCCAAGTGCTCAATACCAGTGTGGGGTCTGTCAGGGTGTCTCCATTGTGTCCCCAAGGCCAGGGGTTTTGGGGGCTCACAGCAGCCCCCTGACTTGGGAACTTCTCTCCAAGATAAGGAGGATCCCCACCCACCCYGAGCTGTGGGCAGGAGGTGCCTCATAGGGCAGGGGGTGGCTCAACCCCAGTGGGTGCTGCGGGGTGTAGGGCGAGTGGCACTGGGTGCTACGGTCCCACTGATGCCCCCCAGCCCCCTCCCCATCTCCTTAGATATGGGAGACCACACGCCCTGCACCGGCCGCTGCCTGGCAACTGCTGGGGTTGCTAGGAGACTGGTTGCTAGGAGATGGGCTGGGACCCCCCTCGCATCCCCCTTCCCCAACATCCATCCCGGGGCCTGGTGGGTGTGGGGTTGCAGCGAGGGAAGGCTGGGTTCTCACCACTGCCRCCMCTGCCACCACTGCCACCACTGCCTGGCCTTGTTGTCACAGTGGGGGCACCACCCCTGGGACCCCTAACGCCTCACCCCACTCTGCACCATCCTTTGGACCCCCAGTRTCTGACCCTGCTATGTTGAGGGTGGGGCACCATCCCTGAGACCCCCCCAATCTCTGATCACTGTGCTGTGCCAAGGGGGGCACACACGCCCTGGGGTCCCCAATGCCCACCTTGTTGTRGGGGTCACCAGCCCTGGGCACCCCCCAGATTCCAATCCAGTGTGTGCCGGTGCGGGGAGGGGCTGGCACAGCTCCCAGCCTCCCCCCCACTCTGTGCTTCCATTCGTTTGTTCTCTGTTGACTGTTGGTAGCAACGCGGTGGCTCCTGGTGACGGTTGCCATGTCCACCTCCCCGGTGCCACTGGGAGGGACAGACCCTCGTCCCCCTCCCGGGGTCCACCCGGTCTGCACAGAGTCCCCACGGCTTCCCCCCACCCGGGCTGGGCAACTCGGGGGCTCCCAGAGCTGGCATCTCATGCTGCGTGGGCTGATTCCTGTCTGCTGGACTCGTGCCCGTGGCACAGATGAGATTCCCAGCCTCCCCCAGTTTGGGCCCTTGCCGGGGATTCTAAACCGGTGACCTCGAACCCCAYGGCCGGGACACACTGTCCACAGGGGGATGGATCGAGGGGTCTCAGCCCCATCAGGAGCTATGGTGGCTCTCAGGGATGACATCCCAGACACAGGCTGCTGCTATTTTTAGCCTGTTTTCCCGCAGAACTCAGCTCTGTCTGTCTGTCTGTCCGTCCGCTGCCACCATCGATGTGACAGGTTCATTCAGATGGAGAGACAGGGCAGCTCGAGGGGCGCTGCTCCGCTCCGGGGGTGCCGGATGTGGCCGTGGTGTGGCGGAGTGGCCCTGGGGTGGCACTGGGGGGCTGGACCGCGGAGGGGTGGCACCCATCCCTGCCCGCGCCCTCGCCCCACCCCAAAAAGGCAGAGGGAAAGACCCTCCAACCCCAGCGCTGGGGGCAGCGGCTGACCGCATTGCCATGGGAGGAAGCAGCGGGGGTGTCACCGGTGTTCCCGCAGCCTGGGTGTCCCCATACCCCCCTCCCGTTCCCCCGCAACCCTTCCCGCTCCCTCCCSGGCTCTGCGGGAGCCACAACAAAAGGGACATTCAGCCCCGGAGGGGGTGGGGGGCACTGAGAGGGGGCAAGGGGAACAGAAAAACGCGCAGTAGGGGCAGCCGTGGGGTGCGGGCGCGCTGCCCGTGGGGAGGGGGCTGCGGCACCGCCTGCGTGCGGGGCGGTTCCGCAATGCGGCAAAGCCGGGAATAAAGGAGCGGGGCGGTGGCGAGGTGGGAGAGACCCTGCTGGAGCGGGGGTTCGTGATGGGAGCCCCCCTAATGGATCTCCTGACCTCCAGCAGGGCTCCGGAGCCGGGGCGGTGGGGTCTAGGAGGGTTCGAGTTGTGAAATCGGGGGCTCAAGAGTGGGCGTTGCTGGGGCAGCGCCCACCCCGGCTCTGGGTGTGTGCCAGCACCGAGGATGTGCCTAGGGAGCGGGGAGACACCGGGAGCGGAGGGACACTGAGCTGCCCAGGGTGTGAGGGGATTTAGGGTGCCCAGGAACTGGGGGGGACATCGAGGTAATCCGGGCGGGGGGACACTGAGGTTCCCAAGGTGTGAGGAGATTTGGGGATGCTCAGTGAGTGGGAGGGAAACTGGGGGTGCTCAGGGGCGGGGGGCACTAGGGTGCCCAGGGTTTGAGGGGACACTGGGGGGTTAGGGGCAGGGGGACACTGAGGTTCCCAAGGTGGGAGAGGAGATTTGGGGATGCTCAGTGAGTGGGAGGGAAACTGGGGGTGCTCAGGGGCGGGGGGCACTAGGGTGCCCAGGGTTTGAGGGGACACTGGGGGGCTCAGGGGCAGGGGGACACTGAGGTTCCCAAGGTGGGAGAGGAGATTTGGGGATGCTCAGTGAGTGGGGAGGGGACCCGGGGGGCGCTCAGGGGCAGGGGGACACTGAGATTCCCAGGGTTTGAGGGGACACTGAGGTTCCCAGGGTTTGAGGGAACACTGGGGGCGCTCAGGAGCGGGGGGACACTGAGGTTCCCAAGGTGTGAGGAGATTTGGGGATGCTCAGTGAGTGGGGAGGGGACCCGGGGGGCGCTCAGGGGCAGGGGGACACTGAGATACCCAGGGTTTGAGGGGATACTGAGGTTCCCAGGGTTTGAGGGAACACTGGGGGCGCTCAGGAGCGGGGGGACACTGAGATTCCCAGGGTGTGAGGAGATTTGGGGATACTCAGTGAGTGGGGGGGACACTGGGGGTGCTCAGTGACGGGGCGACATGGGGGTGCCCAGAGATTGGCGGGACACCGATGTGCCCAGGGAATGGGGATCCGTGATTCTGTCTCAGTGCCGACCCCATGTCCCCATGCTGTCCCAAATCCCCTTCTGGCCTTTGGAGCGCGAGCGAGCCTCCTGCCCGCTTCAAACCACCCCAGAGCGGGGGAGGCAGGGTGGGACAAGGCACTGCACCCCGGGGGTGGGTGTGGGATGCTCCCCCCGCCCCGTCCGTCCTGCCCCACAGGAACTGGCCCACGGTTCCCCCGGGGAGCAGCCCCGGGGCTGGCAGGGAACAGGGCGGCGGCGGGCACAGGAGCCGGCGCGACGGGAGCCCGCGGGGCTTCCCACGGGAACGGGACCAGGACCGGGATGAGGATGGGGACGCGGACAGGGATTACCGGACCCCCGAGGCCTCCAGCCCAGGCGGGGTCGGGGYGCTCCCTGGGCAGATGCAGCACCTGAGATTGCGGTCGGGGGGTTCAGGGATCCCACCTGCCGCCGACTGAGCCCCTCACCCCAATACGGCAAAGCCTCCCGTYCCTAAAGCTTTCCTAAAACCTCCTCACCCCAATATTCCCCGCTGCCCCTAATGCCCCTCTTCTGAACCCCCCAATCGCCCCCTGTCTACCCAGCCACCCCCACCCATCATTCGGGACCCCCAACCTTCCGCCCCTCTATCCCCGCCTCTTTCCCCACCCATAACCACGCCCATTTCCCCACATGGCCCCGCCCCCGCCCGTCTCCCGCCCACCACATTCCACTCCGCTGACGTCACCACCCACTCACCCTCCCCCAACTTTCGAACCGGCCAATCAGAATCGAGGCGGGGCGGGGTGGGCGTGTCCAGAGAGCAGCGTGACCCGGAGGGGCGGGACAAAGTCCAGTTGGCCCCACCCCTTATCCCCGCCCCCAATAAGCTCCGCCCCCCGGGGTATATTTGGGGAACTTTACGGGACGACCCCCGCCTCCCTCCTCGACGGCTTCGTAACTTTTCGGGCAGTGAGCGGCCATGGTGAGGGCTGGGGGCGTGCCGCGTTCATCAGGGGGGCACCGCATGGGGTGGGACCCCCTGGGAGTGTGGGAGCCCCAAGAATGCGGGACCCCCAGACCGGAGCGTGGGGATGAGAAGCGGGTGCGTTCCGGGTCCCCCCCATACCCCCAGCAGCACGTGGGGCTGTGGTTTTAGGGGGGTTGGGAATTCCTCGCGTGTTCGGGACACCCCGTGGTGCTGCTGAGCACTTCCTGACCCTCGGGCASAACGTGAGGTGGGGTCCGTGGGGGTCCGTGTGTCCCACCAGCGGGACCGTGGGCTTCCCCCAGTCGGGGGTCGCTGCCTGGGGTGCTCCTACCCCCGGGCTGTGCCGATCCCTCCCGGGCTCCCTGCCAGCTGCGTAGGGACACACTGCGTGTCCCGGGCTACCACAAAGGTCCTGGAAACATCCCCACAGCCCCCCTGGGATCCTCCGTGCCACCCTCTCCCGGATTTCTTCGCMGGGACCACGCGTGGCAGTGAGTCACGGCGGGGGATGGGAGGCAGATCCCATGCTCTCAGCGTGGCCCGGGCGCAACCGGGAGCGGCTGGCACGGGGAAAAGTCCTCCCGGGTCGCCGGAGTTTGCTCTTGTCCCGGGTGGAGCCGGCTGGGCACTCAGAACCGCGGTTCAGGGCTGCGGCGGGACCGGGACAAGCCGGGATTGTGCAAGGGCTGGTGGARAAGAGAGTGGATCCACATTTTGTGAGGTCCCGAGCAGCTCCCGGACACGAGCAGCTCGCTGGGGAGGGGGCTGAAATGTCCCTGTCCCTGTGTGATCTGTGCGTGGAGGGGACTGGAAATTGTGAGGACAGGGAATAACTTTGGGTGCCCCAGTTCCTGGTTCGCGGAAGGTGGTGGCATAAATGGCACCAAGCAGTTCAGGGTCTCAGTTCCCGGGGGGTGGGGACAGGATGGGACCCCCAGAGCCGAACACCCCCTGTACCCCTGGGGTTGTGCACACTGGTAGCTCCAGTCTGTCCCCAAACAGGGGGGTCCCTCCTCACCTCCATTCTCAGCTCCTGGGTGTCCCCAGCTGGAGTTTGGGATGATGCTGGGTCAGTCCGCTCGAGCTGGGGCACAAGCGAGCTTTGGGGCAGCTGAGCCTGTGCCCACTGCGTTATCGCTCCATCCCTTAATGGGGAGGGTCTCACATCCCCATTGGGGCAGTGAGACCACCGGAGTGACCACCAGAATTGAGCACCCCGAACAATGGGTCTGGGCAAGATCTGGCCCCATCCACCCTTTCGGAGGGRCCATTCCCARSTCSGTGASAGCCCAGTGGGTGCTRGGGTGGGACAAAAGGGGGTGACCCGRTRCCGTGTGCCCCCRCAGCGCGARTGCATCTCCATCCACGTGGGCCAAGCGGGCGTGCAGATCGGCAATGCCTGCTGGGAGCTGTACTGCCTGGAGCACGGCATCCAGCCCGACGGGCAGATGCCCAGCGACAAGACCATCGGCGGGGGGGACGACTCCTTCAACACCTTCTTCAGCGAGACGGGGGCCGGCAAGCACGTGCCCCGGGCCGTGTTCGTGGACCTSGAGCCCACGGTGATCGGTGAGCGCTGAGCGCGGGGGGAGCGGGCGATCGGCGGGGCGGGGCGGGCGCTGGGAGCGGGCGCTGGGTGCTAACGGGGCCCGGGGCTGTCCCCGCAGACGAGGTGCGCACGGGGACGTACCGGCAGCTCTTCCACCCTGAGCAGCTGATCACGGGCAAGGAGGATGCGGCCAACAACTACGCCCGCGGGCACTACACCATCGGCAAGGAGATCATCGACCTGGTCCTTGACCGCATCCGCAAGCTGGTGAGTGTCCTGTGGGGTCTCATGGGGTGGGTCCATCCCTGCGGGGGATCTGGGGACAAAGGGAAGCTCCAGGTATCCCATGGCAGGTTGTTCTGAGCCCATCAGCACTTTGGGGCAGAGGGTGGGGCTGTCCCTGTAGGGACATGCTGTCCCTATCCCAGCCCCGGTGTTAAGTTAAGCTTTGCGAAGAGAAGAAGGGTGTGAAGCGCCATGCTCAGGGCAAGGGGGGCAGGACAGGTGGTTTTTGTGCTGGTGCAGCACTGGTTTGACTGGTGCTGCTGCCCAAGCTCTTTGAACCTGTGGCTCCCACGCTGGGGCTGGCGCCGGGGTGGCCGGACCTGCTGCTCCGCTCGGGGAGCTCCTGGCACATCAAAGGCTGAGCTGGCTGCCCGTGGGCTCGTGTGGGATGAGCTCCTGCTGCACCTCTAGGAAAAAGAGGGGGTGAAGCCATGGTTGGAGCCTGCTGGGGTGCCTCCC